ACACACACACACACACACACACACACCCACCCCAGTTGTCTTTCTTCAAACACGGACTCTGTGGAGGTGGGGGAGGGGACTACTTGTTGCTCTTTCTCTGTGTCTCCGGGGGCAACCACGCTTTTCTGTCTCAGGAGGGGGTCTCCTGGCTGCTCTCCTAGAATGCCCCCTCGCTGCCTAAAGCAGAGGCACTGTGGGTTGAGATCGCCCCCTTCCTTCTGCATTTTTAGCATTCTCCCCTCTGGCGATCCCAGGCTGGGTTTCACCTGGGATCCCGGATACTGAAGCAAAGGAACGCCGCCTCCAGCCTCACACCTGGCTCCTGGGAGTTTAGCACTGCCTTCCTTCCACCTGGGGGGCAGGCTGTCAGGTCAGCCCCCAAGAAACCCCAGCTAGCTCTCTCCAGAAAAGGCTGAAGAGAAAACTTGGAGAAAGTCCCCAGCCCCCACCAGCCCTTCTCCCCCGCTCTGCCCTTCCCCCGCAAGGCAGCCAGCCTAGCAGGGACAGGGAAGTGGGGCGAAGGAAGCCGGCAGACTCTGCGACCTGGGGCTTGTCCCTTTTTCCCAGAAGGCGGGGTGGGGGGGCGGAGGAGAATGGAGCCCCGCTCTGAGCCCCCCGCTTCCGTCCCCAGTCTCCAGATACCGGTCCTCGCCTCTCCGCGCCGCGCGCTGCCTCCTCTTCCCCGGTGCTAGCCGCGGCCGCTGGCATTTGGAATTCAGCCCACAAAAGGGGGCCTGGAGGAGGAGAGGAGGGACGGAGGCCGGCAGCGAGAAACGGCAACCGGAGTCCAAAACATCATGGGGAAAGGAAGCGAGCGGCGGCGGCGGTGAAGGCTGCGCCGCTGCGCCCGACCGCAGTGCATCAGCGTGGCCGCCCTGACATCCCCCAGGATGGTGAACATGGGGCATTATGCGCTGGTTAACAGGCTCCGAGCTGCTCAGAGACTTGTTTTAAGCATTTTCTCCCTCGCTCTCGCTTTTAATCTTGTCTCTAGTGGCGTGTGTAGGGGGGAGGACTTTATTTCCATTGGCTAAGCTCTCCCTTCCCACCCACAGCTCTTCCACATCACCTTGGTGTCTCCCTAAATAAAACCAGCCCTCCTTATCGCCTGGAAAAAATCAGGAGCTAGAGTTTGAATGGGTTTTACATAAACATTCACCCCTGTCAGCGTGCGGCTGGGATCTCAGGATAAACTCACAGCGTCTGGCCTGATGCTTGCCTTGCGTTCTCTTCCCCTGAACGTCAAGGTTTAAGCAGAGCCCGAGGACTGGGAACTCTTCTCTGAAATTCGATCAACCTGAAGCCAGTTGCGGAACTGCACAGGGTCCCGATGGACCTCAAGGAGAGCCCCAGTGAGGGCAGCCTGCAACCTTCTAGCATCCAGATCTTCGCCAATACCTCCACCCTCCACGGCATCCGCCACATCTTCGTGTATGGGCCACTGACCATCCGGCGTGTGCTTTGGGCAGTGGTCTTCGTGGGCTCTCTGGGCCTGCTGCTGGTGGAGAGCTCGGAGAGGGTGTCCTATTACTTCTCCTACCAGCACGTCACCAAGGTGGACGAAGTGGTGGCTCAAAGCCTGGTCTTCCCAGCTGTGACCCTCTGCAACCTCAATGGCTTCCGGTTTTCCAGGCTCACCACCAATGACCTGTACCACGCAGGAGAGCTGCTGGCCCTTCTGGACGTCAACCTGCAGATCCCAGACCCCCATCTGGCTGACCCCTCCGTGCTGGAGGCCCTACGGCAGAAGGCCAACTTCAAGCACTACAAACCCAAGCAGTTCAGCATGCTGGAGTTCCTGCACCGCGTGGGCCATGACCTGAAGGATATGATGCTCTACTGCAAGTTCAAAGGGCAGGAGTGCGGCCACCAAGACTTCACCACAGTGAGTACTTGGTTTTCAGCTTACTTTGTCTGGTCCTCTGGAGACGTGGTGCGCCGGTGGTCTCCTGCTTGGTTTGGGGTCTCCTTGTGCTTTGGAACAGGAGAGAGAGGAGTGCCTCAGCCGATGGCCACGAGGGTAGTTGGTCAGAGTTGTGGGAGCCAGTTGCAGCAAAGGCTACCGGCCGGGATGGAACACTGCTGTCAGTTCAAATATGGAGGGTGAGCGGGGGCTTGAGGTGGGGGAATAACTTCTTCAGATGTGCTGAATTGGCTTCCTCCCAGTCAGAGAGAGGAGGACTGGGCTGTCTGTTGTCCGGTGCGCTTGGTGTCCAAGCTGTGTAATTGGAACAGCTTGTCATTGATGAGGTGGCATTCTGTGTGTGTGCGCGTGTGTCTCCCTCTCTGCTCGGAAGTGGCATCAGGCACTGCATCCTGTGGGCTGGGCTGGAGCTAAAGCCGTCAGAGAAGGGGGTGTGGGGCCCAGGCAGCCTGCCTGGCTCCAGTGGCTTTGGGAGCTTGCTGGAGCAGGTGATGCTGCAGAGGTGTGGAAGTCTCCTTGCTTCCTTTTCTTGTGTGAATTCTGAGCTCCATGTGGGGAGAGGAGAGGCCAGGGGCCCCAAGGATCCATCTGATCTGTTGGCAGGTTGAAGCCAAGAGATGTTCAGAGTGTTTGGGCAGAGAGGAGGGTCTGGGAGGAGACACGTGTGCAAGGCAGCCAGGGAGATGCCTGTGCGGGTGAACCAGTCCTGGCTGCCTTGTCTGGGAGCTTTGGCTTGAAACTCAAAGGCTTGGTTTTCTCTATGTATAATCGCTTAACGACGTGGATGCAGGAGGAGGGGTGCAGGGAGGGGGCGAACAGCTGTGGGAATGGAAAGCCTGGAGGAGGAGTGTGGAGCTGAGTAAAGAGGAAAAGCGGAGGGGGATGTGGCTTACGTTCAGCATGGGGCTTTCTGGAGGGCCAGAGAGGAAAGGTTGAGAGAAGTATTGCTGTCTGGGTTCTCTGCTCAATTAGTGGGCTGCTAGGCATAACTTGGCATGATAGGTCAGAGAGCAGCTGCTGTGACTTCTCCTTGATGCCAGGCAAGTCTGGGCATCAGGGGCTGTGGGACCCTCCAGAAGTGCCTTGTGGCTGCTTCCCCCATAGCTACCTTAGGGAGGATTGAGAGCTTTTGAGTCTCAGCACCTTGAGCCAAAATGCAATTGCAAGTTGGGAATGGCAGGTATAGCAGTTGGGAAGGGACTGACCTGTGATATCAGCACTTGTCTGGGGTCCTCTGCTTAATGAAGACACTTCTTACCTTTCCTGTGGTGCATCCATTCCCCACCCCCTCTTGGATTCACCAGCCTCTTGCTCTGAGTTTCTTTTAATGCTATAACCAGTCTCTGCCTACAGCCTCTGTGATTGCTGTTGGCTATCTCTGATTCTGGAAAAGCCCGGAGTGCTGGGAGCATTGCCTCTCGCCGTCTGTGTGAGAACTCCGTTGCTTGTAGAAGCTGTTTCGTATTATCCCTTTTCAACCTGGTAAGGAGAGCACAGCAAGATCAGCAGTAGTGCATGCTAAAGAGAAAGCCAGCCTGAGCTGGGGGAAGGGACCAGTAATATTGGAAGCCCTTCTAAATGGAGCAAGCAGGATCCTAAAACATGTCATGCACAAATGATGTCTTAGGTGGCTTGAGGAGAGATAGAGAATATGTCTTATTTTTGGAGGCTGAAGCCATCACTATATTCCACCCCGTTCTTTCTAGCGCCTGGCAACGCTCAGCTTCACCACTGTGCCGTGCAGCTTGGAAATGCACTCAGCTGTTCCTCTGTCTGCCTGAACACACATGGAATACACAGACGACACAGGGTGACACAGAAACTGTAATAGGTAGCAGACTCTGGGTTGAGTTTTCTTTCTTCCTCCTGACTTCATGTCCAACTGGTGGCTTCTTCTGAATCCATGTCTAAGTTCCATTTAGAAGTAAATGTTTTTTGGACCCCAGGCTACTGTTTTATACTTGGCTGATCATTTGACTTGCTGGAGTCCCAAGAGGCCTTTAAGGTCAGGCCTTACAGGTCTCCTGAGCTTTTGACCTCTTTGTAATGTTTCCCAAATAGTGAAATTGCCTATGGAGAAGGTTTACTGCTCTGTCAGTGAGGTGTCATTATCTGCTGTCCTCACCAAGTTCAAGACTAATCTGTTTGAGTGTTCATTGCTTGGGCTGACACTCTATGTACGACCTTCCCCAGTATTGAAAAAGGGGGTGAGCCTCAGGGCTGCTGCTCACGTTATTCAGGGAGTGTCAGAAAAAGCATCTACTCCAGGACAGCCCAAGGAGGCTCCAGCACAGAGGCTGGGCTCTGCCCCCAGCTGGGCACAGTGGGCAGCAGTGCTGAGCCTTTGCAAGAGGGAACATGATGCTGAGTTTGCTCAGACCTTACAGTGAGGAGTCCTCCTCCTGACTCACTCTTTGTCCCTCTCTCTTTTTTTGGCCTGGGATATATGCATCATTATTTTTGGGCTGCTATACCAGAAGACAGCAGAGAGCTTGGACAGGTGGCTGTTGGAGAAGCCACCTGGCCGGCATTCTCTTATTCATTCTCTGCTGCCCAACCCTCTCCAGTTGGCTTATTTATGAGGCTCTGTCTGGGGTTGTACCATGCTAGGTGACCTCTTTCTCTAAGTGCAGTGGCTGACTTATTAGAGAAGTTAGGTATGGGGGAAGAGCTGTCACAAGTGGATGGCTTTTCTCTGTTGTTTTGTTTTTTTTTTTCTATAAAGCATACCTAGCGGCATCTCCAGTGCTAATACTATAGCATAAGCTTCCTTATTCCAAGTTCTTAGCTGATGTGCAATGAAGTGCGTAATACCCTTTAATTAGTGAATGAGCCATGATTTTAGCAGAATGAGAGAAGGCTGTGCGGAGGCTAAAAATCTCAGAAAAGCTAGGTGTGCGATGCTGACTACTGTGTAAACAGGTGTGCTTCATGCTCATGCAGGTACACTCTTAGCCCTCACCTAGGACAATTTGACTTAGGTAAGTACTTATTTTTTCCTTCCTGGAAAAGCAGAAGATGGCTTTGATTCCAGACTGTCTACTTAGAGGAGGTTGCCCCCTTGGCCTAGAGTGGAAGGAAGCAGGGAGGATTGTGCCTCTGGCCATGATGTTGGGTAATCTGAGTTCAAAATTAAGAGTGGAAAGTTAAAGACTGGAAGCCCAGCTATGGCACTGTCTTTCCTGTTCCCCGGTTGTATCTCACATCCTCTCTAGGTCTTGACTTGGTCATCTCACATGTGATGGTAATACGTGACTTTCTGACCCCAGCGTTGTTGGGAGGTGATTTATGGGAAAGTCCTTTTGTACAGTGTGCCAGCTACAAAGATGGAAGGCAGGGTTGGTTTCCATAGTAGCAGTCAGGCTATTGTTGCCCAGCCAAACTGTCCCGTTTGCAGGAGTCAGACTTGATGACTAATGCTATGGAAGATGAAACCAGGGAGGTAGAGGTAGCTACTTCTTTCTCTGTTTGGGGCGGTGGGTTTAAATCCAGCCCAATGGAGATGGAGTTTCTTAGAATGGAGGTCACAGTTGGGTTCAGTAGTTAACTCTTGTTGACAGGTGGTGACCCCACTGTTTGTGACCATGACGTGACTGTTTTACATTGCTTCTCTGCTCATCACATTGGGGTTCATCTGACTCCAAGTACAGGAATACAAATGACACTTCAGTTTGCACGCTTAACCTACTTTCATAGTTGTGTGTGTTTGTATTTTAAATGTGAGATTTCTTAGGACATATATTTCTTTCTTTCCTTAACAAAAGAAAGGTCTCTCCACTCTGAGATCTTGTTAGAGGCACTTTACGGATCTTGTTAACTGACATCACCTAACATTATAGAGATGGTGGAGATGAGAATCCCAATAGATTTCTGGGATTCTTGCACAAGGCCAAATGGGTCTATAGCTCATCTAGTCTAACCACCTTTTAAAAAAATTATTATTACCCTAGGAACATGTAGGAGAGGAATGTGAATTTGGGGGAAACAACCTGTGTTGGAATTCCAACTCTGCCACCAATTTGCTGTATATTTTTGCACAAATTTCTTAACCTTGGTTGTCTCATCTCTAGATAAGGAACAATAGTATCTACCACTCAGAGCTATTGTGCTGATTCAGTGACATAAAGTATGTGAAGGCCTAGTATGCCGCAGGTGCTTAGAGCAGGGTAGGTCCCTTGCTTCGCTTACTGTCCCAAAAGAGCTCACTCGACTCTCAGTCCAGTGCTTTGCCCACTAATCCGTACTATGGCTTTGGAGCGCAGGCAACTGCTGCGTGGTGATGTTCTCAATTCTCATTATATGTTAAGCTTTCACTTTCCTCTGTGTGCTTCATATTAATTCTGCTGCTCCAACATCCTCTCCTTACCCACCATTTTGGCTTCCACATTGAATCTCATACTGCCAAATTCAACTCTAGGAAGCTCGTTTGTCTTGTGCCAGCCACCCCCTGCCCCCACCATGGGAATGGGTGACCTACCCACCCTGTGCACAGCTTTTATGGCAGTGTGTCATAGTGTTTCATGCATGGTTATTCCTTTGTCAATCAAATAGAGCACCTATTGTGCAGTGTGATAAAAATAGACTAGAGCCTTGCCATTGTAGAGCTCCCAGCCCATTTCCCACCCCCTCCAGATGAGGTGATAGCAGAGTGCAAGAATGTAGTATCATTAAACCCAAAATCTGCATACATCATGCTAAATGCAGGGCCTGCCCCCAGGAAATACCATGGACACAGGCGTGGCTTGTTGGTTGAATAGTTAACTTGCTGTTTCTGGAATGAACCCAGAACCCTTTGCTCATGGACCTTTCCTACTCCTTTACTTTTTATACCTTTTCCTTCATGTCTATTTATCTAAATCCTAGTCATCTTTCAAAATCCAGCTTTACCATCACTGTAGCCTTCTCCAGGAAACCATTGCCCATCCCCTTCCCATTCCCATAATCTAAATTGCTGTCTTCCTCTTCTGTCTTCTAAACAGCATTTTGGTTTATTCCTCTGTTAGAACAGTCATTATGCTTTTTCTTGCATTAGAATCATGAAGTGCTTGGGCTAAAAGCGACCTTAGAAATGATTTAATTTAATACCTGAGTTTTTTAACCACTGACAATTTTTAATTTTAAAAAGTTTATTAATAAAAAGTCCATATATTTATGATGTATAACCTTGTTTGATGTACGTATACAATGTGGAGTGGCTAAATGTAACGATTTAACATATGCATTACGTCATATGCTTACCATTTTCTTTAGGAGGATGGTAAAAACACTTAAAATGTACCCCCTTAGCAATTTTCAATTTAACAATATATTGTTATCAACTGTAGGCATTATGATGTACAATGGATTTCTTGGGCTTGTCGAAGTGAAATTTTATGTTCTTTGACCCGTATTTCACTTATCCAGCCCCCATTCCTCAGTCCCTGATAATCACCATTCTACTCTCTGTTTCTATGAGTTTGATCTTTTTAGATTCCACACATAAGTGAGATAATGCAGTATTTGTCTTTCTGTACCTGGCTTATTTCACCTTACATAATATCCCCCAGGTTCATCTATGTTGTCACAAATGACAGGATTTAATTCTTTTTTAAAGGCTGAATAGTATTCCATTGTGTATATATATCACAAATCTTTATTTATTCACCTGTCAGTGGATACTTAGGTTGATTCCATATCTTGGTTTTTGTGATTAGTGCTGGAATAAACATGGGAGGGCAGAATCTCTTTGACATGCTGATTTTATTTCCTTTGGATATATACCCAGTAGTGGGATTGCTGGATCATATGGTAGTTCTATTTTTAATTTTTTGAGGAACCGCTATGTTGTTTTCCATAATGGTTGCACTAATTTACATTCCCACCCATGGTGTACAGTGGCTCACCTCGCTCCTTTCCAACGTTTGTTATTTTTTGTATTTTTGACAACAGCTATTCTAACAAGCGTGAGGTAATATCGCATTGCTAACCAGTGATACTTTTTACAAATTGCGTATTTCTTTTTCTCCCTTCCTCATAAGACCTGATGTCTTCACTCATCCTTGTATTCTCGGCACCTGGAATTGCTTGGCACATAATTGTCGAACTGTTTCTTCAGAGTTTGGGAAAAGTGGGTTTGAAGTTTTTTTCATGTAAGGTAACTCTAGCTGATCTATGGTGAAATTGCTGTTTTCCAACTTCCTTTTTCATCATGAGTAGCCAGGATTCCACCTGCACTGGCATGACTTGTCCCATTATTGTTATTGCTTACTCATATGCTTTCTGATTATAGAAGTAATCCTTGCTTATTGGAGGAAATTTGGGAAGTGTGGGGAATAAAAAAAAATGGAGAAGCCTGGGCAATATGGTGAAACCCCATCTCTACAAAGAAATACAAAGACGAGCCAGGCATGGTGGCACACGACTGGTCCCAGCTACTTGGGTGGCTGAGGTTAGCTTAAGACTGGAAAGTTGAAGCTTCATTGAGCCATGATCACGTCACTGCAGTCCAGCCTGGGCAACAGGGTGAGACCCTGTCAAAAAAAAGAAGAAACAAAAGAAAAGAAAAATTGCCCTTGCCCTTAATCTCACCCCAGGTATAATTACATATATTATTTTAGTATTTTGGGAGTACTCCTATTCAGCCATGCAGTGTGTGCATGTGTGTGTATTACTAGGCCTGGGACCACACTTTCTGTGCATCTGTGTCACGTCGGCTCTCCAGTACATGCCCAATCACTGTTAGCTTGCTCTCTTCTTGAGTCCCCTGGGTAGTCTTGAGGTCATTAGGAGATTCCTTCCTTTTAGGCTCAAAACTGAACACCAGTTACTCTCCTTTGGTGACACTTTATTAATAGTATGGCTGCTTGTTTATCTGATGCCATTTTGGTCCCACTGTTTTTTGAATGTTTGCTAAGGTACACTAGAGATGTGCTCCTTTATACCAAGTCACATGTCCTGACAGGCCCAACCCTGCTTCATGAGGAGGCCCAACTTTGAGTCAACTCTGATTCTTCTTGCAAGACCATCCACACTGCAAGCCTCAGCACACAGATGTAGATCCTGACTCTCCCCTATATCTAAAGTCCCTAGGTTCTATGTCAAAATGGCCTAAATTGCAACAAATGCAAAATAGATAATTTCTCATATTCCTTAGGATGCCCCGAAGTCTTGTGAGCATTTGACATGCCCTTGGAGAGGCAACCTTTGTCAAGCTAAGCAAGTTTTCCATGATGCCAGCCTCTGTTTGGGATCTTCCACTTTGCAGAGCTTTAAGCTGTAAGCGCTCTGAAAGTCATGCTTTCAGGGGCACATCAAATTCTTTCTGATGTAGTGAAGGGGTAAGACAATGACTGAGAGCTGACTATTTTGATTACCCACATCGTCTACTTGCAAAGAAAAAACCGAAGCTACT